AATATATATATATATATATATATATATATATATATATATATATATATATATATACATGTATAGTATAGTATAGTATAGCATAGTATAGTATATATATATTCTATAGTCTATACAGTATATATAGTCTACTCTATATTATGGCACTAGCTCCTGGTATGATTACAGCGTGCGAAATGAAATGGCAAATAAATAGCTCACGCGTCATAGTATAGATGTTATATAGTATATATAGTATATAGAGTTTATATTATGACAATCACTGACATAATTACAGCGTGCGAAATGAACTGGTAAATAAATAGCTTTCACGGGCGGAAGAAAGACCAGGAAGCGCAGATCGTATCAACAGCTAGTCTATACTGGGTGCGTGGTCGTGATTGGACGAGAGCGTTACTGACGGCTGCGACACGACGCGGCGGCGTGAGACGCACGGATGAATGTACGGCAGATTGAGAGATGGACGAACCGAGAGACGAACGAGGACAGTAGCAGCAGCAACAACAACAACAACAACAACAACAACAACAACAGCAGCAGCAGAAGCAGCAGAAGTAACCGCAGCGACAGTAGCAGCAGCAGCAACAGTAGTAGCAGCAGCAGCAGCATCAGAAGCAGCATCATCATCATCAGCAGCAGCATCAGAAGCATCATCATCATCATCATCATCAGCAGCAGCAGCAGCAGCAGAAGCAAAAGCATCATCATCATCATCATCGTCAGCAGCAGCAGCAGATGCATCATCATCATCACCACCGTCATCATCAGCAGCAGCAGCAGTAGTAGCAGCATCAGAAGCAGCAGAAGCATCATCATCATCATCATCATCATCATCATCATCATCATCATCATCATCACCGTCATAATCATTATCGGCAGCAACATCAGCAGTTGAATCAATGTAAAGCCCCATCACTGCATGTGTGCGCCGTTGATACGGCCGATAAGCCCGTCTTGTAGCGAGACCGAAGAAAAGGAAACAGCACAACAGCGTTCGTGCAATCTAACCAGCAATGTGATCACGGCATAGCATAGATGCGGGTGGCCATCACATAATAATATCACATGTACGGATTGCTGCTAGTGGACAATGTGAAGCTGTACTTATACGCGCTCGCCCGCATGCACGCACGCACATGACTATACACACAAACACAGTCGAACACGCAACGCACGCACGCACGCACACATGCACACACACACACACACACACACACACACACACACGCGCACGCACGCACGCACGCACGCACGTACGCACGAGCAGGCACGCACGCATGCACGCACATGACTATACACACAAAACAACGGTAATAATGAACATTATTGAGCTGCGCTGATAATATATATAATTATATAATATATAATTATTATAAATTATTATATATTATATGTATATATATATGATAAATATGTCCTATATGCTTCCAGGGTCCTCTGACCAGCGGGCTGTTATGTAAGACAGTGGACGCGGCTAGATAGAATAATGTAACCCAAACACCGGATAGGACCGTATTCCTGTGTTTGGGTTACATTAATTGCTTATCTAAGTGACGCGCATGCTAGCTTTATATCGTAATAGGCGTTGCATGCAGCTGTGCAGCCGTACGCACACTGTACTAGCGTCTTCTACGTACGAGCTATAACCATATTGCCGCCTGCATTTGCATAATATGATATATAGTATATTAAGTCCTGGATGCTTGAGTCTGATACTGTCGTAGAGTGCGTCGATGCATTACGTTGAGCAGAGCGTAATAAATTGTCTAGTCTGTAGCATAAATTAAAGACAAAGACATCACTTTTAGCTGTTACTCCGGTTGTCACCTTAC